TGATGAGTTTGAAGAATGTGACTAACAGGATACTACACTCTTTTCTGGGGTTGCCACAGCTGAAATAAGCAGATATGTTATGGCTTTACATTTATTAGTGCATTTTCTTATTTCTACAGTCACAGTCCTTTCAGACAGCACAAAACCAAAGATAAGCATGAGATCGACCGGATGACGCTCACCGTGGTAAGGATTCTAATGATCTTTTGATTTAAGCTTTTCATGCTTAGCTAATTACATGTCCTTTAAGAAGTTCTGTACATCACTTCTTTCTGAGAAACAACTTTATTCTGAATGTGTCCGTGCAGGAACTGTGCTGCTAAACTCTTCAAGGAAAAGTTACCTTTCAAATGTGGTGTTGTCTCAGATTGAACTAGTTCCAAGAATTCATGCCATAATACTTTTTTTATTTCTCAGAATGTGGAGTTACCAGATGCATTTTCCCCTGAACTAAAGTCCCTTTTGGAAGGGCTTCTGCAACGTGATGTTAGCAAGAGGCTTGGCTGTCAGGGTAGCAGGTAGGATTTAGCTTCTCCATTAAGCAAAGCCTGTATATATCTCCTTTCCTTTAAATGAGGGATCTATTTTATTTTAGGTCAGAATTTGCTTCCTATCGCTGTAACATGTTAATGTTGGAAAGAAAGCATTAAAGTTCAATGCAGTGTCTGTTCAACTTGCTTTGATTATTGGTAGGTTGAGAAATCTCTCTTTTATGAGGGACACTTAGCCAGGAATTACTTCGAAGTTGGTTCTAAGCATTTTTAGGTTTTGTTGTTGGCATTTTAACTATTTTATTTTATTATCTATGTTACATATTTTTGGTTGCTCTGTAGTTTTCCTGCTCTTTGCTTTTTGATACAGACATTTTGATTACCATGATTATAGTGCATATTTTAAATTGTGTGTTGTTGTTATTAAAAAGTCAGCAGTTGCGACTGTTCCCATATGGTGGCATTTGAGATTTTCATAGCTTTCCAATCTTCTGAAAATAGGACGTTTGATAACTGTTGACAAATACTGATTCATTTTAAATTACTTTTACCTTATTCCAAGCAGTCCTGTAGCCCCTGATTTTAAATGAGTTAATTGTAGGTACAGTCATATCACTTAGATGTCCAACTGCCTGATTTGCAGATATTACAGTAGAACCTCAGAGTTGCAAACACCTCGGGAATGGAGGCTGTTTGTAACTCTGGAATGTTCATAACTCTGAACAAAACATTATAGTTGTTCTTTCAAAAGTTTACAACTGAACATTGACTTAACACAGCTTTGAAACTTTACTATGCAGAAGAAAAATGCTGCTTTTTAACAAGTACAGAAACAGTTTCCTTACTTTGTCAAATCTGTTTTTAAACTTCCCTTTATTTTTTAGTATTTTACGCTTAACACAGTACTGTACGGTATTTGCTTTTTCTTTTCTTTTTTTTTTTGTCTCTGCTGCTGCCTGATTGCGTACTTCATAACTCTGGCGTTTGTAGCTCTGAGGTTCTACTGTACCATGAAAGTTGACATCAAAGGGCTCTGAACAGCATTCACAAAAGTAGAGTTTCATGCTCCCAATATGTTGGTAATTGTTGTCTTAAAGTAGAAACAACATACATTGAGTAGTGTAGGACATAGTATTTGGGGATCATTTTCCAGGTACTGTTAACAGAATGGTGTTATGTGCTATTTAAGATAGTAATATGCAGTAGAAAGTGAGTGTGGGTGCTTGTCTGAAAGTATTGGTTTAGCTAGAAGAATTTTTCCACAGTGGGGTTCTTAAACATAACTTGAAAAGCCTCTACATTTTGTTGTTATGTTAAATTTTTTTTTGCAGCGCGCAAGAAATAAAAGAGCATCATTTTTTCAAAGGGATTGACTGGCAGCAAGTCTACTTACAAAAGGTATACATAAAAATGTAACCTTACTTCTTGCTATAAAGCAGTAAAACTTAAGCAGGGTGGGGTAACAGCAAATTTAGGTCCTTGTTCTCCCTTCCTTGCCAAGTATATATGCGCCTAGTAAGCACAAAGTAGATGTAAAATGCTATCACCAATGTGAGTGAGTGAAGAATTCTCATCTGTAGCATTGTACAGATGTGTAAGTTCAAATGATTGCACACCGTGCCAGGCAGGGGAGAATCTAGGCCTTCAATCTTTTATATGGTTCTTCTGTATGACTGTATATAAATAACAAAAATAAATCTCTTTCAAGTGCCTTGGGAAGACCTTTCAGTAAAGGAATGTATACTTAAGCCTAGTTTCATTGCAATACATTGTTTATTCTGTAGGAATACCTTGCATTTTGTTTGGCAACAAGATAAAGGGCATGTATAAATGCAGAATGGATTGAAATAATGACACTAATTGTTTGGCTATGTAACTAGACTGCCCTGCCTTTGATTTCCAGTATCCTCCTCCACTAATTCCTCCCCGGGGAGAAGTAAATGCAGCAGATGCTTTTGATATTGGCTCCTTCGATGAAGAGGACACTAAAGGCATTAAGGTACATGTGCAAGTATTTTTCCTTCAGCCGTTGTTTCCTTTACACTTTTAGATGAAAGATTCTGAATGGCACTTTCAGGTCCCAGTCATGTGCATGCTTAACTTTAAGTGTGCAGATAGTGTCATTTACTTCAGATGGATTATTCACTGCTTAAATTTATGCACGTATGGAGGTGTTTGCAGGTTTGGGATCATAACAAGTAGAACAAGGTATAGCGAATGTCAAGTGTTTATATCTTGTGTGTGTTTAAAATGATAGTTTGACTGAAATTTGGCATACGTACTGTCACAGAGCCCCAGGATCTAGGCTATACCCCAGCTTTTAAACAACTCCTTGGAGGTACCCCTTAGCATGCCAGACCCCAAGGGGGGCCCACTCTTCCTTACGGATAGGCCATTTGCTTCAATACCTTTGAGCCTGAGCCTGTGGGCTCCAGCACTCCTGTTTCATACCGTGAGCTCTGCCCAGCAAATCCAACTGAGGCTAAGTCTACAGGTCAAAATTAAGTCAACCTAAGTTACATTGCAGTACAGCCACTGCAGTAATAAAATTGCTTTTGTGTGTCCCTACTACGCTCCTTGTGTCAGCGGTGCATAGCCTCACCAGGAGCGCTTGCACCTGTTTTAGTGTAGACACTTACAGAGTTAGGTCAGCATAAGCTGCATGATGTCGACCTAATTCTGTAATGTAGACCAGGCCTTGAGAGACTCCTGTTCAGAGATTTTTTTTTTGCCCTCTTCAGAGATCAGTGCCCTTCAGCAAGTATTTGCAGTGTCACCAGGCAGCTTTTATCAAACCGAGTAGGGTTCATTAGTCAACTGGAACACAGCATTGCAAAGTCCTTAAGTTGGCATAGAGAATCAAAGGTTAAGACATAGGCCTCGTTTACACTACAGAGTTAGGTCGACGTAAAGCAGCTTACATCGATCTGATTTGGTAAGCGTCTACACTAAAATGTTGTTCCCACCAATGTACCTCACCCACCGCACTGACTTAATAACTCCACCTCTGTGAGAGGCATAGTGCTTAGGTCGATATAGTTAGGGCGAAACAGTGTCAGTGTAGACACTGCATTGCTTACACTGACTTGCTGCCTTTCAGAAGCCGTCCCACAATGCCCCACACTGGCATTAGATTGGTGAAGCGCTCCTGGTGAGGACATGCACTGCCGACACAAAGAGCATACTGTGGACATGCAAAAGCGATTTAATTACAGCAGTGGCTGTACATCGACATAACTTAGGTCAACTTAATTTTGTAGTGTAGACTTGCCCATCGTCTGTACTGGCCAACTCCAGGGCTCCACCCAGCCAAGCTGCTGTGGAAATCCATCTTGGCTCTCTGTCCTTTTATCTGTCAGTCCCAGAGGCCAGCTCTTGACACAGCTATTTGACACCTTCGCCCTTTGTTCTCCAGCTCGGGGCCTTCTTGCAGAGAAGTTGGGGGAATCTCCTTTCTCTTAGCTGTTGGTTGCTAGTTGTGAATGTTCTGGCTGTTGGGGTTGCCATTATCTTTTGGGATCCTCCATTGGTATGGGTTGGTTTCAGCCAGTAACAACCATTCATGCCACCCAGACAGTTACATGACACACACAGCTCAGGTCTCCTGCTGTACCCAAGGAGCGTTTTAACCCTTCTGCACCTACTGAGTAGCAGTCCATAGTCAAGTAAGTTACTGCCGTTTATACCATTCCTAAAAATATTACAGAAAAATCCTACTTTCGTCACACATATTATCAGGTGTAGGCAGTTTATTTTTACAAAGCAAGTGTTTGAGGTGGTTAGATTACTTTTGATTTAGAAATCATTCAGACAAAACCCTCCGTTTTGCCATGATATTTTAGTCGTGCTACTGCCAAAACAACTTAAGTGAAAAGAAGTTTGCACACACTCAGTCGTCAGGGTGGATAAAACCAACATTTTGCAATGGGTAAAATATTTGTTTGACTTGTAGTGACTGAGTATGTACACTACTTTTTAATAAATATTGCCACCTGTTATATACTTAGGATGAAATTCTTCTCTCTGATAATCACTGTGGCAGTTCTTCAGTGGGTTATTCACATATAGATCTACCAGCAATATCAGTGTGAAATCAGTGCATCAAATGGGGGTAGACTATACAATAGAGGCCCCACAGGACAGATTAGAGGGAAAAGTTATTTTTGTAAGTACTACTACTTAGCATTTATATTACACATTACAACTTCACAGCATGTTGTGAACATTAATTAATCCTGTTGACACTCCTGTGAGGTAAGTAATTGTCATTCTTTTTTCTGCATGGGAAAATAAGGTAGATCGGATACGTGACTTGTCCAGGAACTAAGGGTATGTCTACACTGGCAAGTTTCTGCGCAACAAGTTATACCACTTCTATTAAAGCGCTGGAATTAAGCCTCTGTTGCGTGTCCACACTGTGTTCCTTGTGACAGTGGAGCGCAGCCACATTAGCGGCTCTTGCAATGGCAACGAGAGCAGTGTATTGTGGTCGCTGTCCCACTGTGCAACTGGCCACAGGGTGCTTTGGGAAGGGTTTGCAATGCCTCATGGGGCAGGCACAGCGTCACATGATGCAGGTTTCCCAAACTCATTGCTCCATGGGCATCCAACTACATTGCCAGCTGGTTTTCAACTGAAGTGGGGGGGGTGCAGATGTGTGTGTGTGTGTATGGGGGGCGGAGGAGAAACAGTGTGTTTGGGGGACAGAGAGTGTGTCAGCATGCTGTCTTGTAAGTTCAGACAGCAGCAGGAAGCAACCAGTCCTGAGCCAGGGGGAAGGGGAAACCCCGACATCAGCCCCCGTCTCCCTCCCCAGCTCTCTGCATAGCAATCTGTCTCTCGCACGCACACACACACATACACCTCTGCCTCTGTGTTCAGCAGCACAAGCTTTCACATTAATGGTTTGCTTTGTCCCCCGGAGCAGATCAGCACAGCACACAACAGCTGTCAGAAGCGGAGCTTTGAAAGGGGAGGGGCGCATGTCTCTAGGGCAGCCAAGTTCAAAACAATGAGCAGGGCGGCCACTTAAGGGATTATGGGACACTTCTGGAGGCCAGTTGCTTGCTTTCTGTGCTGTAATGTGTTTACACTGTCAATACAGCTGTTTTTTTGCAACACTGCAACTGAGGAGTTTCTGCGCATTAAGTGGCTTGGCCGTGTGTACACCTTGGGAGTTACACCACAGAAAGCTGCTTTACTGCGCATAAACTTGCCTTAGAAGAATTTATTTTCAGAGCAGGGCTTTGAACACAGGAGTTTCTGGCTCTGAATGTTAAGACTTCTAGTCCATTCTCCCTCTATAAATAACAAATCTATGAATACATTTCTCACTACCTATAGATTTATAATGAAAGTTTGTGCATTAATATCTATGATAGCATAAATATAGGGGAAATATTCCTTGGACAGAGACCTCATATGTAAGAATAAAATAATGATTAATGAGAGTTCGGATAAGGTAACTTTGTTTCAACAATAGTGTCTTATGTTCAAACTACTCCTGGACCCACTTGAACACTGATAGCAGGGTCATACCATATGTGAAGGGTTCGGTTCCATTGGATTGGATCTAAAGCAGCCACAAAACTGAAGTCTATTAATTTTCATGTTAACATTATTATTATTATACAAAACTATTGAAAAATAACGTTAAAGGAAAGAAATCTAGAGCAATAGTTGCTACTCCATCCTTATATTAGTTTCTTGTGCCCAGCTAACGTGGCATACAATATGCTATTTCATCCTCTGTTCTGAAACCTGCTTAATACCTAGACAAAATGATTAACTTAGATTCTAAGGTATATCCCCATTATTATTTCAACATACTTTCTTTTATAGGTGAAACTTTATTTTTGTTGTTATTGCAGGTATAACCAAGATATAATTACAGGTAGTGAGTCAGGAGAGAGAGAAATTACTCCAAACTCCCTAAACAGAAATATATTAACTACCCACAGTGACTAAAAAGGGGAACTTATCTGTCAATGTCACCCACTGCAATTACTAGCAGCTGGCATAAGACAGTTTTTAAATGTTGAGAAAGAAATACAAAGAACAGAAAATGTTCTTTTCACTAGTAAACACCACAGTGCCAGCTAACAGTAGGGTAATAAGTCTCTGATTTCTTGAAGCACAGGAATGCCTGACTGATAATCCCAAGCACCATTTTCTGGGGAGAAACTAGATTAAACTGCCTTCTTTAGCTATATTATGGAACTTAAATTCTCAGCAAGGTGTATACTTGTAATGCATGTTGTTGACTCATGACTTATTCTTTGTACAGGTTGCCCTTAAGGTACATTTATTTCCTCACTCATGAGTCTATGAGAGTTGCAGTGCACTGTGCAGTTTATGCTCAGGTTAAGATTTTATAATCCCTTTTGAGAGGATTGACTAATCCCCTACATCTGAGTCGAATACAGAGGAAATTAGGGTTTTCATAAAACAGCACCAGCTTTCTCAGTTTGCTGGCAAGAAGGTGACAGTTTTGGAGACTGAACTGCTCTACTTTCTTCTTCATTACCTATTTATCTTGGGGAAGATCCCAAAGGCCTCAATCAGAATCAGGGTCGCTTTGTGCTTCTTGCAAGAAGACATCTTCCCTGACCCAGAGATTACAAACCAAAGAGACACAGGCTGAGGGAAAGGGATGCAGTTTAACAGCAAAGTGTTCAGGGAGGTGATAGGCAGGTGTCAGGTTAGAGTTTCTTTCCGCTTTAAATAAGTATCCGCAGTAACCCGTTTACTAAGCTATTGCTAGGTCCTTCTTTCATATCAGTTGTTATCCAGAACCTGTTTTCTAAATTTGCTCAGGCTTCTTGATGGCTTTTGTTTCATTCTTTCACACAGAATAATTGCACCTCTGGCCACCAGACTGGAAATAAGGCATACGTTTTGGACAGTGAGGGTGATTTAACCATTGGAACCATTTCATGGCATTCCAAGGCCAGAAGGGATCATTGTGCTCTGACCTCCTGTATAAGAGAGGCCATAGAACTTCCCCAAAATAATTCCTGGAAATGTATCTTTTAATTCCTAGAGCATATCTTTTACCAAGGAGCATGGTGGATTGTCCATCACTGACCATTGTAAATCAAGATTGGGTGTTATTCTAAAAGATCGACCCTAGGCACTATTGTGGGGCAGGTCTTTGGCCTGTGCTATACAGGAGGTCAGACTAGATGATCACCGTCGTCCCTTCTGGCCTCGGAATCGATGAATCTATGGCCAACCTGCCACACTACAGTACTTCAACTAAATCGTACTGCATGTGACTGAAATGATTTGGTTTTTCCTTTGTTTCATGGACAGATAGTTTGTACATGACTAATAATGGTCCAGCTGTTCTGTAGGAATTGTGTGTTTGGTTTCAGGGTGGTTGTGTTTTGGGGTTTGTTTGTTTGTGTTTTTTAAAGTAAAGCGAACAATAGTGTATCCCCCTCCTATGCCCAAGTTTCCTCTCACCCAAACTTCATCCAATTTTTGATTCTGGGGCTTTCAGTCTCACTCCTTAAGGCTTCTTTATAAGCCCCACTGTCTGCAGTCACCTCATTCAGCCTAAAATTCAGATTGGCACACGAGACATAACAGGGAAGGACCCCTAGGTCTGAGAAGCTCTGACCCTAGAGTTTCTGGCCTCTATAGGGTCTGATCCCATCCCATTGAAAATGGTGGGAGGATGAATTAGGCCACTGGGGCCTAAACTGGGGAGTGGGGGCATAAAAAGGGAGTTGGTTTACTTTCCCGTTAGGAAGGCAAAGCTTGCATTTTATCTTGTTTCTCTGAAAGAAAGTCCAATTGTTCTGCAGGGTTAGAAAGCAATAGAGGAAAGAGAAAAGTATAAGAGTTTAGATATTGCGAGAAAAGGTATCACCAGAGACTAACCCTGAAACCCAAAATATAAATAACTTTATAGAGAAAAATGTGATCATTCTTAGCATTGTACCAAAAACTCTATGCCCAGTGATGTCTGTCCTAAAGGTTGCTATACCAACCCACAGATGATCTTTTTTTCCAGAATCAAATAATTTCAGTTATGTTCAGTACAGTTCAGTTTAAGTACTGTAGTTAACGTGGGAAGAAAAAAGGGCAGTATGACATGAAGGCAGTCTGAAATCAGTAGCATACACGACTATTTTAAAGGTGTATTTGTAAAGTTACCGTGGAAGCATGGAAAAGTATCTGTGTGAAAAATGCCTTTTCATATCAGCACAGTGACTCAAGGATCTGAAACTTGCTGCTCTTGGCAAACTGCAAGGATCTGGTTTTGCTGAGCTTCAGGAAGTAAGGCAAATGTGTCTGTTTGGCCAACCTTTTACTTAGTGGGCTTGCCAGTGCAGCAAGGGGTGAGGATGAAATAATATTGATCATTTTTGTTTGAGTTATTGTAAGGCTCCCAGGTAATGCGCTACATTTACAGCTATTTACATAATAAACTACACATTTTTCATCTTTGCCTTATGATATGTGGATTGAAATACATTGAAAAGTTAGTTAGTTCCCAAAAGAATGCTGTTTCTGAGAGCTGAAGCAGATTTAGTGGAGTCAGTTGTTGCTAGAGAAGTAGGCAGAGGAACTTATTATATAGTTAGAGATTTTTTGAACAGGGCAGCTAAGAAAAGTAAGAATTTCAGAAGTCCATCTTAAGGTGGCAATCAAAATTTTTATATCCTTTTTCAGGCAATGTACCACTTGTATAACTTACATCGTATTGCGGGTATAAGAGTTTTTGAGCAATGTCTAAAGAATAACAAAAAATCCGGTGTCTGTATATTTATGATCTGAAATAAATGTCCATCCTATAAAATAAGATGCTATCGCTTTAAATACACCAGAACTAGAAAACTGTGCAGTGCACTGTATAACTTTGCTTTCTCGAGTTTGTACTACATGCAAAATTGGGAATCTTAGTCTACTTCACATGTCAATTTCATTCTCTTCTTTTTTTAAACTATAATTATTATTGCACTGGAATCATTGAATATGTTGGTAATGGTAATAGAACTTATTAAAATCCTTTGTTTTATGATATTTTTCCCTCCTAGTTGGTTGATAGTGACCAAGAATTGTATAAGAACTTCCCTCTGGTAATATCAGAGCGTTGGCAGCAAGAAGTAGCAGAAACTGTTTATGATGCAGTAAATGCAGACACGGATAAAATTGAGGCCAGGAAGAGGGCTAAAAATAAACAACTTGGCCATGAGGAAGGTAATGTGTCCAGTGCACATCTTTTCACTCTTTAATGCTAGATAAGGTTATTAAATATGTTCCAACAGGTACTCTTTTATTTTATGTTGTTAATTACCTGTAATTCAGAGAGTTCATGCTTTAATGAGTCTTTTAGCTTTCATTTAATTCAGTCTGTATTTCTTAAAATACTTTGAGATATTGTATGATATATATATATCTTATAGAACTGGAAAGGACATCGAGTCCAGCCCCCTGCCTTCACTAGCAGGACCAAGTACTGATTTTTGCCCCAGATCCCTAAATGGCTCCCTCAAGGATTGAACTCACAACCCTGGGTTTAGCAGGCCAATGAAAAGTTTTAGAAAAGTTATGAATGAATCCTTTAAAGTCAAGAGGGATTACTGTATGGTGCGTTTGGTTATCTGTAAGTTTCAGGTATCTTCAGTAATGTGTATCCAGGATTTGATTTTATGGAGAGGATAGCATCTGAATGAAAAAACGAGACCCATTGTATCAGATGTAATTCTTTTGAATAAGATATTGAATTATGTACTTGAGATCGGTGACAGTGTTGGGACCCTCTCTTCTTTGGTATGCGGTAGCCCTCTAGTGTGTTCATCACCTTAGTACAAGTTTGCATTGACCTACATCTTGTAGAATTCCATTGACTTCAGAGAAGCTCCATGAGTTTCTCAGTGCAGAATGAGCTCCTTCACTTCTTCCCTACCCCTCAATATGGTGTCCAGTTGTGGTAGTTTGAAGTGAGTCTGTATTTCTTCACAAATTCCCTCTCTCTGTCTCTCTCTCTTTTTTTGGGTGGGGGGGGAATCTTTTGTTTTCTGATTGTTCTCTCATAGTATTTCCATATTTCATATAGTATTTTAAAACAATTGATAAATTATGGCATTGAAACATGGGCACACTTCAAAATGCAAACCAAGACGTGGATAAGTTCATGGAGGAAAGGTCCATGGTTGGCTATTAACCAAGATGGTACAGGACACAACCCCATGGTCTGGGTGTCCCTAAGCCTCTGACTGCCAGAACCTGGGAGTGGACCACAGGGGATGGATCACTCAATAATTGCCCTGTTCTGTTCATTCCCTCTGAAGCATCTAGATAGAACATTGGTCTGGCCCAGCATGATCATGCTTATGTTCTTAAAGCAGAGCTGCTCTCCCTTCTCTGTAGTGTGTGAACTGCTGCCTTCTTTCTGCATTATTATTTTTGGCATATTTGCCTAAATTCTCAATTAAGTGAATCGGGCGGAAAAATAAAATTGAACTGATGGGGATCTCTCTGGACATTTGAGCAGTTGAACAGAACATTCCTCTTGTAAAGGCAGATATGTTGTTACGCAAGATATTCAGTGTTAATACTTTCAACAGTAAATCAGGTGTCTTCTTTAATAGGGTCAAATTCTATTTTTGGTTACTTCAGTGCAATTTCATTGCCCTCGGCTGTAATGGGGTGCAGAATCTGGCTCAGTGTGTACATGTGTGTATATAATAATTAGAAGGCAAAAGGTAACACACTGTAGAGAATATTATGTGTACTGAATCTTCTGCTGAAATTTAATAGGCTGTGAAAACTCTAGTAAACCTTTTCTGAACAGAGCACATTTCCTGAACACTGGATTGTAGCGGATTGTGTATAATGAAGTTGTTCTATTCGCAGATTATGCACTAGGGAAGGACTGCATTATGCATGGGTACATGTTGAAATTGGGGAACCCATTCTTGACTCAGTGGCAACGTCGTTACTTTTACCTCTTTCCAAACCGACTTGAATGGCGAGGAGAAGGAGAATCACGGGTGAGTATGAAATTAGTATAACAAGCACAGTTATTGTAAAGGTACCAAATGTAGATAGGCATTTTTGCCAAATCTTGAAGTCCATACTCAGGAAAACTCTCATTGAAATCTGAGTTTTTCAGGAGTCATTATGGCAGGTCAGATTCTTATACCTCTTCTCACATGGAGTAGTACTTTACTTTGTGAGTAGGCACATTGATGTCAAGCAACCTAAAATAGATTTTACAGACTTGTGGTTTTTTTTAAGAATTGGGAGTTTATCAATGTATTGTTTTTTCATTTAGGACCTCTGGAGTATTTATACAAAAAAACATAAAATGGTAAGGCAATAGAAACACTATTGCATTGACGTCAAAGATAGTGCTATAGTATCTATAGTTCAGTCCAACTGTGATCGTGTTTTAGGGATGTCATCTGTGTATTTAGCTACACCACTGTAAGAGATTTTGAAAATATTGTTCTTCCATTGCAGTATTTACTGAATACTTTTATACAAAACTGCTTGTATGTTTTTCCATCTGTACCTTTGTAGTGCTTCAATAATCCTTCTCAGCTCTTTGACAGAGACAGTAAGATTGTCTAACAATTGATTAAAGTGTTTCACAGCAATACTGTTTGAAAGAAAATAAAGTAAAATGCAGCTCTTATTGGGGAAAACACTCATTTAGTTCATAATGACATCCCTTTTTTGCAGTGTCTTGTTTTGTGCTGTTCTGAGTTGATCTTTTAATAATTTTTTGCAACTAAATCCTTTGGTAAATGTCTTCGAATATTTTCTCTTACTTTATGAACTATTTTTAGTTCGTATATTACTAGAAGCTAAGGGTCAGATCATGCGAACATTTGCTCCTGTAAGTAGCTTTATTCACGGGTATATTCCCAATTAATTAGGAGTCAGCTTTAGGTCTATTGAGTAACAGCTTCAAATTGTAATTCATCTTTCTTTTTGCAATGTGTGGTAGCAAAATCTACTGACAATGGAACAGATAGTCTCAGTGGAAGAAACTCAGATTAAAGATAAGAAATGCATCTTGCTGAGAATTAAAGGAGGAAAACAATTTGTCCTGCAGTGTGAGGTGAGCAACTGTAATTTTTCAGTGATGACTAAAGCAGATGTTTTGTATGCAATGATAAAACCCAATGGTAAAATTAAATATTTTTCTTAGTTTTCAAGTCTACACTAAACTCATGAAGTATTTGCCATGCTTTACATGCGAAGTGGGAGGGATACGGCTGTACTAGGTCAGTGTGGCACATCTGAAAACCTGGATTTCAATGGAACTTACGTCAGAGTTAATTCAGTTTAAT